TAACAACTCTGGCAGGAAAGGTCATAAAATGGGGCAAAATTCACTTAACAGCTGTCTCACAAAGCGGCAGAAATGTTGGGCTCAGCTGAGTTCGTAAGTTGAGGACTATCTGTATACCATCTGCTATAGGAGACTAATATTGAGAAATCAGATTTGAGAAAGGAAGATGATGCACAGGATATTTTTCTAAGCGTGCAGCTGTCGTTTCCCCTTTTTTGGGTGTGGGGGGGGACAGTTCTGCTTTATGTAAAGCACCCAGTCACTGGAGTTGCCACCAAAAATGTTTTAAAAAAATAGAGAACCTGCTCTGCTCTGACATGTTAAAATAACTCCTCGTTATTTGCCATCCACCGTTTTGAAATGCAGTTGGGTTATTTTGCAAAAAAAGGGCAAAGTAAAAATTAATTCACAGGTACATCGCGCCTTGCAAATGCCAGCCTCAAATAAGTGACACCCAGCTTTCTTTCTCTTGACAAAAACTCTAAGCGACAGCTTGTATGTGTGAGAACATCTGGAGGTGATTTACTGTTTTTTATATATATATATATATATATATATATATATATATATATATATATATATCAGTAAATCACCTCCAGATGTTCTCACACATACATATATATATAGAGAGAAGCATGTCCCACATGGGTGTTCAAGACTAGGAATCTGCAAACAGAGGATTAATTGCTTGCAGAAAAGCCGCATCACAGATGCGGGATTTTTAATTTCTATCCCACAGTGGAAAGCAATCTTGGCTGTTAGAAGCCATAAATGTCCTAATCAAGTGACAACCTTAAATAATTTCCGACTTAGCAGCCACAGAGAGCTTGCTTCTGCTGAATCCAGTGCTATTTTAAAGGGAGAAGAATTAAGTGGTTTTTCTTTACCTTGGCTGGCATTGCGGTTTGGGATAGAAGTGGCCCCTGTTCTGAATCAGATTCTCTTTGTGTTGTTGTTGTTGATGATGATGATAAGGATAAGGATGAGAAGAAGGATGAGGAGGAGGAGGAGGAGGTGACAACACACTCAATTTCTAGCTTCTGTATTAATTTGCATCAGGCAAATTAATACAGAGCTGTTGGGAAAACTCAGCATCATAATGGGATGGTTTTCCTTATAAAAACCAGTTTTTGTCTCTGGCACATGGAAGCCCATCAGTTTGTAAGCCCACCTCTATTCTCAAAATCGTAAAGAGACCCCTGGCTTCTTTTCTCAACAACAGAGAAGAGTTTGGGCTCTCTCTTCCTGCCTCGCTTTCTCACTTGCAGCAATTTGTGTGTTTATTCGTGTCAGAAGCCTCACAATTAAAATAAGGCCTACTGCATGACATAAAATGCAAACTATAAAATACAAGGTTAAAATAATGTACAAGTTAAAACAGATCTTGCCCAGAAACGAGCAACATTGATTGTGTTCTGTCGCACTGCCAAGAGGTCCTCAAGGGTACAGTGATCGGGGCACAAAGGGCAGGTGTACATGTGTGTTGTCCGCGTGTCACCACAATCACAAAGGGCAGAAGCCACCGGATAGGCCCATTTGTTCAGAATATCTCTGGATCTTGCTGTCCCCGTGCATAGTCTATTCAACCATTTCCATACTTCCCAGCTTTTGTCAGATCCGGGTGCAGATTCCTCCGTTGCTTCCATCCAGGGTTGGCTTCCCATAGGTGCTCTCTGCATTTACATTCTTCAAACTCTTCTGTTGACCTAAGGAAGCTTTTCCTGGATTTTAATCTCTGCTGAGCTGGTTGTCTAGAATATAGAATATAGAATAATGGAGTTGGAAGGGATCTTGGAGGTCATCGAGTCCAACCCCCTGCTCAGGCAGGAAACCCTATACCATTTCAGACAAATGGCTGTCTAATCTCTCCTTAAAAACTTCCAGTGTTGAAGCACCCACAACTTCTGGAGGCACATTGTTCCACTGATTAATTGTTCTCACTGTCAGGAAATTTCTCCTTAGTTCTAGGTTGCTTCTGTCCTTGCTCAGTTTCCATCCGTTGCTTCTTTTCCTGCCTTCAGGTGCCTTGGAAAATAGCTTGACTCCCTCTTCTTTGTGGCAGCCCCTGAGATATTGGAACACTGCTATCATGTCACCTCTTGTCCTTCTCTTCCTTAAACTAGACATACCCAATTCCAGCAACCGTTCCTTATATGTTTTATCCTCCAGCCCCCTAATCATCTTCGTTGCTCTTCCCTGCACTCTTTCTAGACTCTCAACATTGTTGCAACGACTAGATATTCATGATCGGAGCGTCTCTCTGCATGCCGCTGCTTCTCTGCAAACAGCGGGCAGGGCAATGCCAGCTAGGCAGTAGATCTTACCTAGAGGAGTAGGTTTAAGGCAGCAGGGTAGAAAGATGGGTTTAAGTCTTGCAGCAGTGGGGCAGAAAGTTTGCAGTTTGGTGTCCTGGGAACCTCCTGGTCCCTGCTTCGGACCGTCATCATCCCTTTGTCCACATTTCAGGGTTGAGCAGCATCGACAGCTGCCTGATTCTGCAGGGTCTTCATTTCAAAGCTTCAAATCACCCTCCCAGCTTTGGGGGACATTTTAAAGGGTTACAAGGAGCAGGAAGTGCATTTGCAACTTCTTGGGAGTTTCACCGATTCCCATAGAAGCCTCTCCATGGCGCCGAAGCGTAGCTGCTACTACGAAACAGCATTCACGCAATACAGTAGGAAAGAGCAGGGCTTTTTGTTCTTCCGTTACAGGTGGTCCCCGGCTTAGGATCCCAACTGAGAGCAGAATTTCTGCCGCTAATTCCAAGGAGTTGGTAAAAACGAATTGCGCCCAATTTTACCACTTTTTTTTTGCCGTGCTTGTTCAGCGAATCGCGGTGGATGTTAAGCGAATCACGAGATCTTTGCGTGAATCCGGCTCTGCCCGTTGACTGTGCTGGCCAGAAGCTGACTGGGATCATGGTGATCACATGATCCTAGGGCTGTCGTAAATCCGTGTCAGTTGCCAAGCAACCGAATGTTGATCGCGTGACCCTGGGGATGCTGCGTTGGGGGTTAAGGGCAAGGACTGGCCGCGAGTCACCCTTTTTTGGCACCATGGTAACTGTGAACGGTCACTAAATGAATGGGTTGTACGTCGAGGATTACCTGTACTAAGGGTTAAGCCAGCCAGCCTTCAGAAACCCTTGGCACACTTATCCCTAGCCAGATATGGGCGTGTTCTCTTGTCATAGCCAAGCAGAGCTGATTGGGGTGTGAAGAGCTACCATACCTGTTTGTTTAAATATAAGTGGCTTAACCTAAAACGCGAACCACACCGCTAGGATAGGGGAGAAGATCGAATCTTGCAAGCTTCAACGGCAAGTTCTTACTCCGGCTTAGCAGGGGCTCTTTCCCGCTGAACTTAACTGAACCGATGGAGCGTTTTGCATATTCAGAGTGAAGCTCGTGCAGACTTTGCCCTTAGCTAGAAGTGACTCATGCGGTCCGGTTGAGCCAACTGCACGGACCCCATCCACTGTGGCTTGTTCACTGGATTGGGATTTAGCAAGTGGTGACAGCCCAAGCAATTACGATTTGCGTGTTTATGTGATTTCTCGCCAGCTCCTTTTGTTAAGGAGCTGGAGGCTCTATTTTTTCTACACAACTACAATCGTGCATTTTGCATTGGCCCAGAGACACCACCCCCCCCGGGTCTCCTGCAGAATCTGAGTCTCCATTCTCTTGGCCAAGCACCTTCTCCGTGGTTTTATAACTACCTGCAAGGTAATAGAGAAGCTGTGGTCAAAGTGAGCAGAATTTCTCTCTCTCTCTCTCTCTTTTTTTCTCACAAAACCACCAAGTTCTGTGTCTATTGTTACTTCCTCAGGTACACTAACAATTCTGGGTTGTGGTGTAAAAAAGCCAGAATTACCATGAAGTGCCTTTAAGGTTCAGTTGGCTTGGGCAAATGCTTCTTTCAACCAGCACTATTTCTCTTCTTAATGCAGTATTATTTCTGGGGTCCTTAGTGCTCTCTGAGCTTGGTGATTTTCTGCAGATGTTTCATTACCAAGCTAGGTAACATCATCAGTGCAAGAAGGGAGTGGAGTTGTAGCACTGATGATGTTACCTAGCTTGGTAAAGATATCTGCAAGCCTCCTCTTCCTCTTCCTCTTCCTCTTCTTCCTCTTCCTCCTCCTCCTCCTCCTCCTCCTCCTCCAATCCTCCAACCCTTCTAGCACAGATAATGTTACCTAGTTAGGTCATGAAATGTTTCCAAGAAAACCACCCAGCTGAGAAAAAAGCTCAGTCCAACCAGTGAGCTACAAATATTCTTTTCTATCGGTCCAGTATTATCATTTTTGCATCACTCAAAAGTGTTCAAGTTAGAACCAGCATCCGTTTTTTTGGTAAGGCTCATTCTCAATTGTTTGCCTCAACCCTTAAAAGTACACACTTAATTGTGGCATGTTTGGTTTCCTGGAATTGTTGGGTGGTGTTCTTTCCTATCATTCCTCCTGTCACTTATCAACCTTGGCAAAAAAACAACAACAGTTGAGTCTCTCTGATAAAGAACAAGCAGCTCAAAACAACTTTGACTGCAACACTGACTTGATAGCTAGAAAAATGACATTTTTTACAGTTTTCCGAAGAGGTGGGTGCCATGACACCATGTTGGTTTCACGGGCAGGAGAAGTGAGGATTTGCCCTTTGGATTCGCCTTGGTCTGTAAAGGAGGTTGAATCCCCAATTCAGTTTTAGCCCTGGGGCTCCAGCTTAGAATCAGCCAGGAATCTTGACCCATAGGTTCTGTGCCTGGCTGAGGAATTCTGGGAGTTGAAGTCCACAAGTCATAAAAGGGCCAAGTTTGAAGAACCCCTGATTTGAACAATAAACATTGCAAGCTTTAAACGCCCTATCGAGTGATAAATGTGAGTTATTTCTTTCATGCGCGCGCTCTCTGTCTCTCTGTGTCTACGTAAAGATGCAAATAAATAAAAAAGACCATGATGTTAACTCCCTCTTTTTTGTTTGTTTGTTTGTTTGTTTAAATATCAGATTTTTCTACTGGCTTGTCCACCCTGCCATTTCGCCATGATTCTATTCAGGTAAGTGAGTTACCACAAATAGATCGTTTAAATGATGACCGCTCCTGTGGCCTGGTTGTCTACATCAGGGCTTTTCAACCTTTTGACCCATTGTACCACTTTTAGGATATGGCAATATCTGAGTACCACCAGTCCCCTAGCAAGGTGTCAAAAACTTGATGACCTCCCTCCCCAAAAAGAAAAAAAAGTGATAAAGTACAGGTAGTCCTCGACTTACAACAGTTCGCTTAGTGACTGTTCGAAGTTACAATGGCACTGAAAAAAGTGCCCCCCAAGCCACATAGTTTTCTTAGCCATTTATCCATCGTACAGTTTAGCTTCCAGATCCCTTATCATCTTTGTTGCTGTTCTCTGCACTCTTTCTAGGCCTTTGGCATATAACTTAGCTCCTTCCTGAGAAAGGACTGCGTTTTAAGAAGCCAACTTGCTAACCGAGCCTTGAAAATACAAGGATGTGGTCTTTAAGAGGAAGAGACGAAGTTAGAGGATGGCCCTAGTGCAGTGTTCCTCAGCCTTGGATCCGCTGGGAGTTGAAGTCCACCATCTTAAAATTGCCAAGGTTGAGCAATGCCGCCCTAATGTCAGCCCTTGGAGGTAGGCCAGGTCAAGCCACAGGCAGGCTGGGATTCCAGGAATGTTGTTTTATTGTTTATTGTTATAGGGCCATTAATGAATCTTGAAAGCTCTTCACATCTTCACTGCATACTCTTAGAGGACGAGGAGGTCCAAGAGGGATGGTCCTGAGTCTCATACTTTCTCGCAGCTGAGTAACCACTTTACCTATTCCGCCCACATCTCAAGGGCGGATCTAAATTCCTCTGCACTTCGGTGGACTTTTTGATGGTGTTCTTAAAAGGACTCCTAATGGAAATGCCTGGGCTGTTTTTGTCTCAGTCATTTAAGAAGCAGGCGATTGAACTGAGCCAATAAAAGTTTGCATCTGGACTTGAATTTGTAAGCCAGCAGGTGGTGAGGAAAAGAACAGTTGTAGAGGTTAAGGCACTAGGCCAGGGCTTTTCAACCAGTGGTACTGGCAGGTGGTACGTGACCACCCTAAAAAAAGTGATAGTGGGGGAGGGGAATGAGCTGAACCGGTGGCAGCACCACACAAGCCTGAGCGAGAGACGGCTGGAGCTGCAGGGCTGTCAGGGCTCAGTGGAAGTGCCAGGATCAGTGCCAGGCTCCAGCTGGAGCTCAGCACTGATCCTGGCGCTTCCGCTGAGCCCAGAAGAAGCACCGATCAGCTGGAATGTTGCAGCCTCTCCAGGGTCTTGTGATTTACATTCAGATGCTTGGCAACTGATTCATATTTATGACGGTCACAGTGTCCCAGGATCATGTGAAGTGACCAAAACCTGCTGCAACCACCCAGCAGACGGGGGGGGGGGGGAAATAAAAACCAAACACCCCCCACCCCACCCCCGCTGCCAATCCTCAGCAGAAATGCTCACAACAATGAAAACCTCGGACAGGAGGAAGAGCGCCGCTGGGCGGGCAGGCAGGTGTCTTGCTTGGCTGTGGCTTGGGGGGCACTTTTTTCAGTGCCTTTGTAACTTCAAACAGTCACTAAGAGAACTGTTGTAAATCGAGGACTACCTGTACTTTATCACTTTTTTCCTTTTTTTTTTTTTTTTGGTCATCACGTTTTTGACACCTTGCTAGGCGACTGGTGGTACTTGGATGTTGCCATATCCTAAAAGTGGTACAATGGGTGATAAAGGTTGAAAAGCCCTGCTCTAGGCTACCAACCGGGAGACTGTGAGTGCTGGTTCTGCCTTGGGCTAGATGGGTTACCTTGAGCCAGTCCTTCTCTTTTGGCACAAGCAAGCAGACAACGGCAAACCACTTCTGAAATTTTGCCAAGAAAACTGGCAGAAATAAGATAAGATAAGATGATAAGATAACCTTTATTGTCACTTTTTACTGTGAGCACACTGACACACATTGAAAATGAAATTCGGTTGCCTACTCTCAAAAGAAAGCATATATCTGCCCAACCCATACATAACAATATAATAATAACAACATATAATAAGAGTCAATTTGAATATTGGTTAAGGCACCAGGCTACTCACCAGGAGACTGCGAGTTCTAGTTCCATGTTAGTCACAAAGCCAGATGGATAATCTTGGGCCAGTCGCTCTCTCTTCACCCTAGGAAAGAAGCAATGGCAAACCACTTCTGAAATCTTGCCAAGGAAGAATAATAACAACACATAATAATAAAGAGTCAATTGAAATACTGGTTAAGGCACCAGAACTACAAACTGGGAGATTGGGAATTCTAGAATCTCATCTTAGTCACAAAGCCAGCTGGGTGACCTCGGGCCAGTCCTTCTCTCTCATCCCTAGGAAAGAAGCAATGGCAAACCACTTCTGAAATCTTGCCAAGAAAACTGGTAGGAATAATAACAGTATATAATAATAAAAAAGAGCCAGTTGGGCTACTGGTTAAGTCACCAGGCCATAAACTAGGAGACTGTGAGTTCTAGTCCCACCCTTGTCACAAAGCCAGCTGGGTGACCTTGGGCAGGGTTTCAAGCTGATCGTTGTAAAAGAAGATGGTCTACCGATGGTCCTTCAGACTGTTCTTCTAATGGCAGTCTGTGGTTCAACCTTCTTTTAGAACCGGCGGCAACTGTTGTGAATCGCCTGCAACAGACATCCTTACGCTGCAAAGGTGTCATTTGTTTTTTTCTTTTGGTAGGTTGCAAATGCACATGCTGAATGGGGCCCTTCTCGCTCTCCTGTTTCCTGTGGTTAACACTCGATTGGTGAGTTAATCTCAGCTTGCTACTGGAAAGGAAGGGAGTACACGCCTCTTACAAAACCACGAGTGACAGGTTTAATTTTGATAGAGTGATTCCTTGCATGTGACCCAGCAGTGCTGTCTCCATCAAACTTTGCTTGCTCGCTTTTTTTTCAATGAGTCCAGGTAAAAGTGCGCATCAAGCAAAAAGTTGTGCACATGTGACAGTTACCCCAATTGGCAGCTCACCTTATCTCAGAAGTTGAGGATCTTTGACCTTACAGAGTCATTAACACTAAAAAGCTGTCAATGCAAATATAGCTCCTTTTCCACTAAGAACCTTCCTGTGTGCATCAAATATTAGCTTACATTTCCAGGGTTATCTGAGGTGCTTCAGAGTAGTTTATTTATTTTTTATTATCTACCATTTAATTTGAATGCACAGCTTGGTGTACTTTTTTTTTTTTTTGCTAATGTGGGTGTTGTTTTTTTAATTGGCTTTTGGTGCTTTATTTTTTGTGTAATAGTTGCAAGAATGTTCTCACAAAATTCTTTACAAGGTCTTTCTCTGACTGTCCTGCTTAGAGGAGAAGGAGTGGCAGAACCTGGGGGTGGGGTTAAAAGAGGAATCAGCCTAGCATCCTTACGTAGCCACAAGTGAACTAAGTCCAACTCCCTTTTGATTTCCATCAACCCCTATTTAATTTCTAGCAAATGCCAACTTTTAGTTGAGAATATTCCGGTGCGTAGGCTGTTTAGCAATAAATTAGTTTAACTGGATCTTCACTTTTGGTCCTAATCTTTCATCCCCCACATCAAATTAAGAAATTAGCCTCTGGGAAGAGCATAGGAATCCTAAACTCAGGTGTCCCCGGGCAATGACATAGAGTCGGCTAATTCTTCCATCACAGCAGACAGTCTTTGTGCTCTCTTGGCTTAAAACACCACACTATGAGGAGACCTAATAGCCATACCCCTTGGCTGTCTGGTTATAACTTATAATTAATTCTACACTGTGTACTTTAAGCATGATGTGTTCTCCCTTAAACTGCTGACTCTGTTTGTAATCATAGTCAAATTTTATTATGGGTCAATAATCCGATTCAGCATCTGTGTCTCTCTCTCTCTGCATCCATTTCCCCATCCACAAACCCACACACCCATTGAAACAATGCAGAGAAGATTAGCCTGGCTTTGATTTTAGAAATTGTGATGTGTCCCTTCCGCATTAGTTGTTTTGGGAGGGGGTGAACATTATTGTGACAAAGTTGAGGTGCACTCGTTAAAATGTGGAGTATTCTGCTTCATTGCAGAACAGTGCATGATGTTGATCTGTTATCAAAATAATTAAAGTGGTGTGACAATCAGGCCCTGGATGGAAGAATGCCTATTCAAAAACAAAGTGCCGTTGTTGTCATCCGTTGATCCTTATCACTATGTTGATCTGATTTATCTCTGGTCCAACCAGGGTAATCCTATGGTGGTGTATCTCAGTCAGCCTTTTTTATTTTGCTTTCTTACTCAAGTCTTCACACAATATTAACAGAATAACAGAGTTGGAAGGGACCTTGGAGGTCTTCTAGTCCAACCTCCTGCTCAAGCAGGAGACCCTATGCCATTTCAGACCAATGGTTGTCCAGTCTCTTCTTAAAAACCTCCAGTGATGGAGCACCCACAACTTCTGAAGGTGAAGCTGTTCTACTGGTTGATTGTTCTCACTGTTAGGAAGTTTCTCCTTAATTCCAGGTTGTTTCTCTCCTTGATTAGTTTCCATCCACTTTTTCTTGTTCTGCCTTCAGGTGCTTTGGAGAATAGGTTCAATCAATCAGAACAGAGCTGGGAGGGACCTTGGAGGTCTTCTAGTCCAACCACTTGCTCAAGCAGGAGACCCTATACCATTTCAGATCAATGGTTGTCTAGTCTCTTCTTAAAAACCTCTAGTGATGGAGCGCCCACGACTTCTGGAGGCCAGCCATTCTACTGGTTGATTGTTCTAACTGTCATTAGACTTTAATGATAGTGTCGAATGGAGAAAACCCAGGAGTTGTGTGGCTAGGTGGTGTGATCACGCGATGTCACGCTTTATGACTGCATCGCTTAACAAGGGAAATTCCGGTCCCTATTACCATCATTAAGTGACGGCTAGCTGTTTTGGGATGACCGTCTCCCAGAGCATAGACAGGACTCCAGCTTGAAAGAAGGCTGTTTTATCTGCTTTGGAATCTGCTTGGACGATATTCTGCCTTTGCACCAACCACAGGAAGAAAGACGTTGCAGAATCAAAAACATAAAATCGGTTTGAAGAGCAGGCACGTGGCAGTCCTGCCTTACAAAGATTCGCCCGGGTAATTTAGCTGCTTAATCTCCCCAAATCTTCTCAAATAAAGCACGAGCTGGATCAACCCGTGCCTTTCTTCCTAATCCCACTTTTCCTGTGGAATGGCTTTCATTAGAGCCAAAATCCTCCCTGGTTATGGAAGCCGACGTTTTACACGCCGTCCGCTTTGCATAAGAAAGTCCGTTCAGAAGCTTTTTGCATAGACGAGAGCAAACTTGTCTGTATAAGCAGTCGGGTTTAATATATTTCTACTTGGGCTGTTTCTATTTTAAAAAGCTTGCCAACGCTTTCAACAGCAGGAGATATACAAAGTGTTGCTCAAATGAAATATTAGCCACATTTAGCATCTGCAGTCTGTCCTCCGGCATTTCCAGATGCAGCAAATTCTCCTGGCCCTTGGAAATCTTGAGCCTGCCTCCCAGAATAGAAGGGACAAATTTATTAGTTTTCATTTCTCCTGTTTTCAGTTGTTCCATTTGTCATCTTCGCATTTTTGTTAATGTTTTCCTGAACGTTGTTCCTGCCATTTGAGGGCAACTCTTTTCTGATGTAGGCATGTATATACACAAATCTGCCCCCCCAACACACATACACATCACAGGATATACTTGTGAGCAAATTTCTGTAAAGCAGTACATTCATACTTGATCCCCAATTTGTCATACCCACTTTCCTGTAGGCAGGATACACAATTTTGTGTATGTTCTTCGATTGAAATGCAATTTTGTTGTGCAAGATTGGAAGGAGTGTTACTTTGGAGCAGTGATTTGAGCTGCAGTTTGCATCTTGAGGTCAACATACAAAATTAAATGAATTGGTCTGTTAATTCTAAAGGAAGGGTGGTTATAAGTGGAGACGTCAAAGTCAAATTCTATATCAATTTAGCAATATCCCATTTGACAATAATAAGCTAACCCTGCCTATTAAGGATGGGATGAAGTCTCTCTCTCTGTGTGTATGTGTGTGTGTGAGAGAGAGAGGGAGAGAGAGAGAAAGAAAGAGAGAAAGAAAGAGATAGAAAGAAAAAAAGAAAGAGAAAGAAAGAAAGAGAAAGAAGGAAGGAAGGAAGGAAGGAAGGAAGGAAGAGAGAAAGAAGAGAGAGACAGACAGACAGACAGACAGACAGACAGACAGAAAGAGAAGATGTCAAAACTACCTAAATGCTATACAGGTAGTCCTCAACCACAACTGAGCCCAAAATTTCTGTTGTTAAGCGGGTTTTGCCCCATTTTACGACTTTTCATGCCACAGTTATTAAGTAAAACACTGCAGTTGTTAAGTTAGTAACCTGTTTGTTAAGTGGATCTGGCTTCCCCATTGACTTTGCTTGTCAAAAGGTCGCCAAAGGGGATCCCATGATGCCGGGACACGGTGACCATCATAAACACGAGCCAGTTGTGCCAGCATCTGAATTTTGATCAGGTGACCCTGAAAAACGGTCATAAGCCACTTGGTAACTTTGAATGGTCACTAAACAAATTGTTGTAAGTCAAGGACTATCTGCATGCGAGTTTGGTTTGGTATAGTGCATGGTCTCATTCCAAAAGAAATGAAACCTAAAACTTACAAACTACACTGAATGGGTTTTCCAAATATTTAAGACTCTAGAAAGAGTACAGAGAAGAGCAACAAAGATGATCAGGGGACTGGAGGCTAAAGCATATAAGGAACGGTTGCTGGAATTGGGTATGTCTAGTTTAATGAAGAGAAGGACGAGGGGGGACATGATAGCAGTGCTCCAATATCTCAGGGGCTGCCCCAAAGAAGAGGGAGTCAAGCTATTCTCCAAAGCGCCTGAAGGCAGGACAAGAAGCAACGGATGGAAACTAACCAAGGAGAGAAGCAACCTAGAACTAAGGAGAAACTTCCTGACAGTTAGAACAATTAACCAGTGGAACAACCTGCCTCCAGAAGCGGTGAATGCTCCAACACTGGANACGCCACTGAGAAATATCTATTGCTTTTCTGTAACGCTAAAGCGCACTAACCCCAGTCTCTAAATATCTGGTGGGAACTGCTTAAACTTGGACAGTCTTTCTCAACCTTAGCAGGTTTAAGACCTGTGGACTTCAACTCCCAGAATTGCCCAGCCAGCTTAGCTCTTTGGGGGATGAGGAATAGAAGAAGCTCAAATTCCAGCTGTCGCAAAGATGCTTTTCCAAAAGGCAACTGAACATGGTTTTTTTCCCCTTGAAAACGTTTCACAACTCATCCCAGAAGCTTGTTCAGTTTCTTCTTCTTCAGAACTGAAGAAGCTTCTTGGATGAGAGACGAAACGTTTTCAAGGAAAAACAACAACAACAAGAAAGTTCAGTTGCCTTTTTGGAAAAAGTTCTTTTGGGACAACCATGACCTGGATGATTGAGAATCTCAATAGACGCTCAAATTCAGGCTTTCCTGTGGCCAAATATTCTTCTAAACGTAACACCGAAACCTCTCTTGGGCAACGTGTTCTACTAACTATTCAGTACAAGGACTTAGCATATAAAGCAAGTGCATGTTACTTAAATGCTAGCTAAGGATCAGATTAGGCTGGCGTGGCTGAGCTGAGCGGAGCCGAGTTGCCGGTAGTGTGCAATCTTTTGTTCAGAATTTCTCTGAAAAACGTTGACATCACCTTCCTGCTAAGAAGGGTCAACATTGTGAAATAAAGTTCTTGGGCCAACAATCAGCAGCAGCTGTCATTTCCACTCCTTTTAGTTTGGCACAAACTGGGATTCCTGTACGGTTGGGTGGTTACGGAGAGCCGACGAAATACAGGAATTGTTTGTGGTGTTTTGTTTTTGTTTTTAATCCTCTGAATGTATACAAAAGCACAAGAGTCCTTTCTTTTGGCCAAGAATTCAGAATTGCGTAATACTGCATTGGAGGAAACCCGTTTGTTCAGCAATCACAACAATTTCTATGGTTGTGGTTTTTTTTTTTGTTTGCAGCTTTTGAAGATTTAGAGCAGTGTTTTTTTTTCAAATGTGGCAACTTTAAGATGTCTGGATTTCACCTCCCAGGGGGTTGTGGTCCACACATCTTAAAGTTGCCAAGTATGGGAAATAAACTGATTTAAACTCTTAAGAATGCAAACCAGTGATCCGTGATGGTTTCTCCAACAACCTGTCCTTCGTTTATGTATTTTCTTGCTTGCTTATTTGCTAGCTTTCTCTCCTGTTTTTCATTCACTGTGTCCAGGTAGGTTACATATTATTCTGTGGAATTTTCCCCACAGCAACTTTCCGGGAAGATCAGTTGGACTGAGGTGGGTAGGTGCGGATTGGTCTAAAGCAGGGGTCTTCAAACGTGGCCCTTTTATGACTTGTGGACTTCAACTCCCAGAATTCCTCAGCCAGGCACGCGTGCCTGGCTGAGGAATTCTGGGAGTTGAAGCCCACAAGTCATAAAAGGGCCACGTTTGAAGACCCCTGTCTTAAATCTAACAAACAAAATGGAGGCTGGCTGAGGAATTCTGGGAGTTGAAGTCCACAAGTCATAAAAGGGCCAAGTTTGAAGACCCCTGTCTTAAATCTAACAAACAAAATGGAGGCTGGCTGAGGAATTCTGGGAGTTGAAGTCCACAAGTCATAAAAGGGCCACGTATGAAGACCCCTGTCTTAAATCTAACAAAGAAAATGGAGGCTGGCTGAGGAATTCTGGGAGTTGAAGTCCACAAGTCATAAAAGGGCCACGTTTGAAGACCCCTGGTCTAAAGTCACCCAACAGGTTTCCACAGTTAAAGACAGACTTGGGCCTGAGTCCCACAGGGATCCCCATGCCAAGATTCTGTAATACCGAGCTGGATGGACCTCAAGATAAATAGCCTTTAATGCTTTCCTTCTTTTTTTTAAAAAAAAAGCTTGCACTGTTTATTTACTGATTTATTACATTTCGTTTCTTTGGCTACTTTGGCAATAGCTCCGGTGGCATATGAGGATTAACAGCACCAGAAAAAAAAAACCCAACAGTCCAAATAATTAATGTCCAAGCGTGCCTGGCTGAGGAATTCTGGGAGTTGAAGTCCACAAGTCATAAAAGGGCCACGTTTGAAGACCCCTGCCCTAGCTAGCTATGCATACTGTTGGGTCATAGTAAAATAGTTGAGTTGCTTCTTGAATCCAATCTAATGCTTCTGATTTGGATGTGGTGAGGCTTGGTCATGTCACAATATTTGTGGTGCCAGTATCGGATCCAGGTAATAAGTCTCATGTTAAAGTGTCGTAATAAGCCAAGTCTGTTCATGGTGTCATCTTTCTTTTCGTTTGATCTCAGCCGGGGCTGTTGCTTCACACGTTAACGATCTGATTTATCAAGGGTGTTGGCAGTTCTTGATTTTGGTTTTATCAAGGAATGTGGTGGCCTAAATACAAGAAGTCCCTGGTTAACGACCAGTCTTTAACGACTGTTTGAAGTTACGACAGTCTTCAAAAAATGCTACTCGCAACTCATCCTCGGAGTTACCACTGCCGCACCTCCCCACAGTCACGTGATCACATTTGGGGTTCTTGGCAACCGCTTGCGTTTGTGACTGGTTGCCGTGTCCTGTGGTTCTGTGATTTGGATTGGTGACTTTTCTGTCCTTTTGCGACCACTGGAAATGCTGGATTTGCTTAATGACCGCTGGTTCACTTAGTGGCCACGGGGCTTAACAACCATTGTAAAACCGATTGTGAAATCAAGTCAGATTACCTGGGGACCTTCTTAAGGATTGTAATGAGTTATGTCCAAAATTCTGGGCTCAGTTGTGGCTATAAGTTAAGGGCTACCTGTACCCTAACCCTCGACTTACGACCAATAATGATGATGATGATGATGATGATGATGGTGATGCCTGGAGACAGCAGAATAGACGAGAAAGAACTGGAGAAGATAACAAAATACAAAGACTTACAAATAGAAATAGAAAGACTGTGGCAAAGGCAAGCAAGGGTAGTACCAATAATAATAGGCGCCTTGGGTGCAATCCCAAAACAACTGGAGCACCACTTGGACACCATTGGCATTGATAAATTCGCCATTAGTCAATTGCAAAAGGCGGCCTTACTAGGAACTGCTTCCATCCTGCGATGATATCTGTAATGCCATCAAACATCCACATCTGCCTATCCCAGGTCCTTGGGAAGGACTCGATAGGTAGACAAAAATGCCAAATCCAGTCTGAACATCTGGCTGACTGTGCGATGATCGATAATCATCATCATCATCATCATCATCATCATCATCATCATCATCATCCATCCTGCAACGATATCTGTAATAACATCAAACATCCACATCTACCTATCCCAGGTCCTTGGTAAGACAAAATGCCAAATCCAGTCTGAACATCTGGCTGACTGTGCAATGATCCACAATAATAATAATGGACTAGATGACCTACAAGGTCCCTTCCAACTCTGTTATTCCGATTCTGATTCTTGCAGAGTTGGCTCTCCAGGTCTGTGCAAAAATATCACCAAGAGGAACCATTCCTTTGCAATGGCTCTTGGGATAGTAGCCCCTCCCTAGAGAAAGTGGGTGAGGGTTCAATATTTCCCAAATAGTTGGGAAATTGGTGGGATCGTGGGCAGGGGTTGTAGGTTGCTCATGATCACATCCAGAACCACCAATAAGGAAATTTGACAGAGTTAAAGGTATTAGGGGAACATAAAGGTAATAGGTGCAACGTGTCAAGTCAAGCCTGTTCATCTGAGCTGTCGAACACCCTGGGAAATAGGTGTGCAGTTGTCCTGATGAATAATACAGTCTTTACTCTAGAACAGGGGTCTCCAACCCCCGGTCTGTGGACCGGTACTGGGCCACGGCATGCCAGCAACCGGTCTGCACAAACCAGCAAAGCCCCATCCGCGGGATGCAGGCAGCACACAAAACCACGCTCACTCCCATCCGTGGAAAAACCTCTTCCACGGAACCGGTCCCTGGTGCCCAAAAGGTTGGGAACCTCTGCTCTAGAAGCATACAATGTTGAATACAACAGACCCGACATCGGATCTAAGTTGATTACATAGTCAGGGAGAATTACTCTGAACTGTGTGCACGCCAGTCTATATTTATAAGTCTGTTCCTTCTTTTTTCTTTTTTTGCAGCTACCTTTTGAAATGGAAGTTTATTACATTCAACATATCATGCTCTATGTTGTCCCCATCTACCTGCTATGGAAAGGAGGTAGGTCTCTCTGTTAATGATATCCTGTCTTCCTAGCTAATCAGGACCTCCGTTGCTGTGTTCTAGAGAAAAATGGGAGAGCCGTCAGCCACTGAGTGTTAATTTTGCTCCTCAGTTCTTACTAAGGCTGCTACATTTCCAGTTCAGCAGTCCGGCAAAACTTCAGCAAAGCTTTTCGCCGTTTAAAAACATAGAACATGGAATCATAAGGCGGGAAGGGACCTTCAAGGTCTTCTAGTCCAGCCCCCTGCTCAAGGCAGGAACCTCATACCATTCAGACAAACGGCTGTCCAATTTCTTCTTAAAAACCTCCAGTGAGGGAGCACCCACAACGTCTGGAAGCAAATCATTCCACCGATTAATTGTTTTCTCACTGTCACGAAATTTCTCCTTACTTCTAGGTTGAATGTCCTTTTAAACAAGCTTCTACCCATTACTTCATGTCTGCCCCCTCTGGGCAAAGGGAAATTCATCAACAAATGAATTCCTCACCCTCTCCCAAGAAATGGTAGATGTGTGTGAATGGGCTCCACTGACTTTGCATAATGAACCTCTTCATTTGTTGTCCAACCACTTTTTGGGCAGGATGGGTGGGGAACCTTGGCTCTTTTATGACTCGTGGACTTCAACTCCCAGAATTTCTGAGCCAGCATGGTGGAACTATGGCCCCTTTATGGACTTTAATTCCCAGAATTCCTCAGCCAGCATGGGGGAACTATGGCCCCTTCATGACTCGTGGACTTCAACTCTCAGAATTCCTGAGCCAGCGTGGCTCAGCTGGGAAACCTCTCCCTTTCCCCTCAGCATGGCTGGCTCAGGAATTCTGGGAGTTGAAGTCCACGAGTCATAAAAGAGCCAACGTTCCCCACCTCTGGCCTAGGCCGCTTTATGACTGGTGGACTTCAACTCCCAGAATTCCTGAGCCAGCATGGGGGAACTATGGCCCCTTCATGACTCGTGGACTTCAACTCCCAGAATTCCTGAGCCAGCCATGCTGAGGGGAAAGGGAGAGGTTTCCAAGCTGAGCCAGGCTGGCTCAGGAATTCTGGGAGTTGAAGTCCACCAGTCATAAAAGAGCCAAGGTTCCCCATCTCTGGGCCTGGAGAACAGGAGAGCTTTCAAACCTGTTTAAGGAGACTGGCCATCTCCTTTGGGTTTCTGCAACTCTCTGCTGCCCTCTACTGGTGGCCTGCAAACCCTGAACTTCACCTTCCATTAATGTTTCTCAAAGGTGGGATAAAGATGTTGTTAAATAGGAAGAACAAATGAATGAAAGCCTAGTTGCCCCCACTAACATTGCCTTGATGACCTTCTCTGGGGAACATGTTGTTGTGACTTCCCTAGGATTAGCATAGGTAGCCATATAATATATGTCCAAATCACCTGAGGGCAGGACAAGAAGCAACGGATGGAAACTAATCGAGGAGAGAAGCAACCCGGAACTAAGGAGAAATTTTCTGACAGTGAGAAGAATTAATTAGTGGAACGGCTTGCCTTCAGAAGTTGTAGGTGCTCCATCACTGGAGGTTTTTAAGAGACTAGACAGCCATTTGTCTGGAATGGTAGAGGGTCTCCAGCTTGAGCTAGGAGCAAGGGTTGGACTAGAAGACCTCCAAGGTCCCTTCCAATGCTATGATTCTATGATCTATCTACGGGAAGGCTCTCAACAGTGGAGTGATTCATAGTTCCCATAACTACTGTGAGTAATATAAGTCCTTAGCCATGTATGTTTTCTAAACAAACAAACAAATAAACAGACAGACAGATCTTGCTGGCAAGATCCAAGAACTCAGATTCCAGATCTCCTCCACCTCCCATGGATTCCTTTGAGATCTCTTGAGTGTCTGATGTGGTAGGATGTTCTTTGGAAATGGCGGTTTCCCCCCCCCCAATATTTTAAAAGCTTGAAATTTGCTATTAAAAATCTCAGCAAAGCTTAAATACAAGCCATCGTTTACCAATCACATGTAACCAATGATGGGATTCAGCCAATTCGCACCACTTCGGCAGAACCGGTAGCTAATTTTTTGTTGCCCAGGCCCAGAATGGACTTCCGGAAGCGGCATCCACACTGAGAACCGGTTGTTCCCCTATTTGAATCCCACCACTGCATGTAACCCAATTCAGATTTCTTTAGCTTAAGAAGGACATGTTTTTCAAGTAGTATATTATTTGTAAATACATTGTAAATACGTTGTAAATACATGCCGGTTGCAAAGCGCCCAAATTTGGGTCAGATGACCCCAAGGATGTTGCAGTGGTCGTAAGTGCAAGAATGGGTCATGTCACATTTTTCAACCTGGTTGCAATTTTGAGTAGTCGTTAAACAAACGGTTATAAGTCGAGGACTGTCTCTAATGATTCACGAGGTGCTCTGGAGAAGTTGAGTTAGGTTAGGAAGGAAAAAAAATGTGATTTCAGTTCTTCCCAACTGTCTCTGCTCCCGGCACTCTTCCTTTTTGCCCATTTCCCAGATGAGTAGTTACTGGTCAACATTCAGTGATTTTCCACTCTTTGCAGAGAAGGAATTTCTGACGGGAGAGACATCAAAGAGGGAAGAGAAAGCATTCCTCAGCTGAAATTCAAAAGCTCAGAATTAAATTGGAATTGGAAAAATAAACATGTAGATTTCTTTTCCAGCTGGCCAGGTTGCCAGGAATTTGCCTGGCTTTTTCCCTTGGCTTGTTAACTGTTTCTAGTTTAACTGTTTCTAGTTCGATGCATCAAATTGTCATTAGTTAGGAGTGCAAGAACTCTCCACAAATTGCCCTGGATTTAGCGCCACAACTGAGTTCCAAATTTCCGTCACTAAGCAACACAGTTAAGTGAGTTGTGTGCCCACTTTATGACCTTTCTGCCACAGTTAAGCGAATCGCTGCAGTTGTTAAGTGAACCGTGAGGTTGTTAAGCGAATCGGGCTTCCCCCGTTGACTTATGCTTGTCGGAAGCCAGCTGGGATGGGAAGCTGACAAAGTGCGATCTCAGGATCTCGGGATGCCGCAACCGTCGTAAGTATGTGCCAGTTGCCAAGCGCCCAGATTTTAGGTCACATGACCCGGGGGATGCTGCCACAGTTGTAAGCATGAAAGCGTGAAAGTCGCTTTTTTTTCAGTGCCGCTGCAAGCTTTGAACGGTCACTAAACAAATAGTTGTTAAGTTGGCGACTACTTGTAAAGGAAAATATCACATAGGCCCAAATAATGGGGGAGGATTACACAGATTCTGAGACAGGGGCCTTCAAACTTGGCAACTTTAAGACTTGTGGACTTCAACTCCCAGAATTCCTCAGCCAGCCAACATGGCTGTCTGAGGAATTCTGGGAGTTGAAGTCCACAAGTCTTAAAGTTGCCAAGTTTGAAGACCCCCATCTCACAGACATTCCTCCTAATTCATATGAGCACAGACAGTCCTTGACTTACAACAGTTCATTTAGTGACCATTCGAAGTTACAACGGCACTGCAAAAAGTGACTTATGACCGATTTTCACACTTACGACCATTGCAGCTTACCTGTGGTCAGGTGATCCAAATCTGGACGCTTGGCAACTGGCATGCACTTACGACGGTTGCAGTGTCCCGGGGTGTGTGTGTCACGTGATCCCCTTTTGCGACCTTCTGACAAGCAAAGAAATCCGGATTCACTTAACAACGGGGTTACAAACTGAACAACTGCAGTGATTTCACGTAACAACTTGGACAAGAAAAGTCGTAGACTGGGGGCAACACTCCCTTTACAGCTGTCTCACTTAGCGACCTAAATTACGGACGTAAGCTCAGGACTTTGAGCGGTCACAAAAGGAATGGTTGTGAGTCAAGGCCTAACTGTAGGTCGGCGGAATGAGGCCGTTAATTAATTGAACAATTAATTAATTAACGTTCGTGCCTGTTCTGGCATTGACTTCTGTGGCTCTGGTCTGCTGAAATAGGGATGAGTGCACAAACTTTTTCAAGCCAGGAGCCAGCCAGTATCTTGAAATGTTTGCAATTCTCTTCCTTGACTTTCAGTCTGGTCTGCAACATAGGCATTTCTGACAGCTTATGTTTTGCATGGCAATAATCTCGGATATTCAGGGTGAAAATTGCTACTTCGTTAAAGAAAGAATGGGTGCCCACCTTGAAGTAGCCCCAAACCATTTTCTCTTTTTCTCTCCTTCTAACAGGTGTTTACACTCCTGAGCCATCGTGGAATTTCTGGTGGGCTTTGCTCTCCACTGGGTTGATGTTTGTCTACCACTACAGTTTTTTACAGATTTTGGGACTCGTAAGTCTATTTACTTAAATGGATTGTATCTCTTTCTCTCTCTCTCTCTCTGGGTGGTCTATGGGTGGGTTTAGTAAAAAATATGCCCATGGAGCAGGTAAGTAAAGAAAGAAAGAAAAAAAAACCCAGAATATATAGTTTGGAGAAAAGAGAAAAGAATTCTTGTTTTAAATGATTTACCATCTAGCCAAGTAGATTAAACAAGAGGAAACTGCAGTGTGTTTTCAAAAAAAAAGTTTCAAAATTACATCTGTTTGAGGGTGATGTTTTGGTGTAAAGTGGGGTGCCGGAGGAGACAGAGAAGATCTGACATATTTCAGGTTCATAGACACTCTGGATAGTGAGAAGGGTGACGTATGGATTTAATAGATAAATAAAATATTGAAGGACTGGAGGCATTGAGAAAAGTAGGCTAATTGTCGTAAGACAGTGCAAGGACCATTTTTTTTCCTCTAAAAGCTAATCTTTCTCCTGTTCTTCTAGATCACTGAAGTGAACTTGAACAACATGCTGTGCCCGGCTATTTCTGATCCATTTTATGGCCCCTGGTATAGAATCTGGGCATCGGGACACCAGTCCATCATGACTATGCTTCATGGAAAACTCATAATCCTCCTTTTCTATAACGCTGTCCCATTCTTTAAGCTCGGTGTGGATGTACTACGATCCCCAGCTAAGAAAATATCCTGAGGCACCATCCTGGTTCTTGTTTCTTTGTTGAAGGATCTAGGAGAACCAGTGATCGTATTTGGGGTCGGAGATGAACCCCGCCTATATTGTTTTCAGTTTCTTTCTTCTATTACGACTCGAAGTTTATCTTCCCGCTCTTCTGCTGGGTCTTGATTACCTGTAGCTGGCAAGGATGGCGAAACACGTGGGCTTATTTACACAAAAAAAGCCACAGGTAGACTTAGAGTACAACTTCTGATCTTGCCACCTTGGACCTTTGGAGTTTGAGATGTCCATCATATCATGGACTATGGCTGATGATGGAAAGCACTATTCCACGTTCTCATGACTTCAGTGAGTTTTTTCTCCTGTGCGGCAGCTTTTACCTTCAGCACACAACCTCTTTTTATCTCGTGTAGACTTTGGGTGTGAATAGTATTCGGTGCTTCCTCTCTATTAGTGCAAATGCGAAGGTTGTTGCGTTGTTGAAGTTGGTTAAACATATGGGGAACAATTACAATTTACTTGCTAAACACTGCCTTCTTGAAGCTCCTGAAAGTTTAAGCTGAAGCCTCCTCAGATGCCACCATACCTGCTGGCACCTCCCAGGTTCTTCTTCTAAATTAATTGCTGAAAAACATCTTAATTGCTGGATTAAGATTTGGAGATTAGGAGATGGCATTGACCAAGAAAATCTGCCAATTTGGAGTTGGACTCTATGTCATCGTTAAGTATACTTACGTAAATGTATTGCATATTGTACATACATGTATTCGATGTTATGTCCACATATATATATATATATCAGCTTCCCCCTTCTAGGACACTCCAGAAGAAAACATAACTTTTCTTCATCTATGAGTCACCATCTAGCAAGACTGTGCTAGATGAGGACCCTGCAGACCAATGTGTTTGGAGATCCTTGGGGGAAAAACAACATATATTCAGGAATATTAAATGAAACTAGCCAGGTTTGACTAAAGTAGCCAAGCTGCAAAAGTTATCCTTCATGGATATTGAAGAATAATTGTCTTTTCAGCATTGGAGTAAATTGGAGAAAGGTAGAAGTAGGATCTTCAGCTTTTGGAGTTGTTGCCGTGATAGTTGTTCTGAATTATGTCCCGGTTACTCTTTTGTCCCAACCCACCAGGGTCTCCAGCTGTATTGCCTTACAAGTCCCATGTCGGGCAGCCTTTGATACCTCAAGCAGAGAAAATTTGCCTTAAGGGTCAACCTTATCTGCCCTTTCCACCTGAATGTGGGAAGTTATGGGGTGGGGTTGGGTATTCAGCATGAAGAACTTCAAAAGGTAGTTTTGAATATTTCATTCCAGTTGACCAAAACTTGAATCTCACTGCAATTTGGCATGATCAGAGAAGTTACCTTCTGCTTGGGGACTTTATAGATCTTGGGTTTTTTTTTGTTTTTTGTTTTGTATTCGTAGCTGGTGAGACATTTTGTAAACGTTCAACTGTGAATATGCTTTAGCTGTCACATTGCTATCCTTCTATGCTGCCCAGTGGGACATATTTCATCCCTGTGTTTCTTGGGCCAAATTCCATATGGTCAAAACCCAGCGGGGCCCTGGGGAGCTAGGTGTCTTTTTCTGCTCTGCTGAACTTTGATGTTTACTCTTCAACATGGCATATTTTAACAGTTAGACGTACCTGCAGTGAAATTTCTAGATGAATAGCATAGCCACAGTGTATTTGTGTGTGTTTGTGTGTGTGTGTGTATGCCTGTGGGTGACAGTTGTTCAGGATCCCTTCCACAATAGGATCATAACACTTACAAGGAGATACGCACGACTGTTTTAAATAGTGAATATTGAGTTTTATTTTTTATTTTTTTTTTAAAGCCAAGAATTTAGCTAGGGCGGGTTTCTTATTTGGCTCTGTCAGTGACAGTGATCTTCGTATTTCTACATGATCTCAGTGATCAGTCTGGATCTATCCTTTGATTCTGTGCCATATTTATCATCCATACCATGGCCTTAGTTTGTTTGTTTTTTTGGTAGGCCATGTAACCAGTTATCTGGGTGCCTCTTGATCACAGGAGAGACTTTTGAGTTTGCTTTCAGAACTACTTGCTGCTGGTAAAACAGGTGCCACTTGTTTTCTTTCCAGATCATAAAATAGCTGAGACGTTTGAAAAACATTCCGTGTCCTCTCTTCTAGTCCAGGTTATTTGATGAAACAGCTGCCTTGCTAGCACAACAGATTTGGAAATTTTCTTTTTAAACCACTTCTCTCTAGCCGCTGTTGAAGAGTTTTCTCTTACGTGCATTCTGGATGAATAGGCCAGGGACTTGAAAAGCTCTTTTGATAGGGAGCATTCTTCTTTCCTTCTGCAATTTGGCAGAGCTGTGGAGGCCGTTGAACCAAGTTGCAACTTCTGTGAACTAGAATTTGAGTTGTGGGCTGAAGCAACCAAATCATGGAGATAAGGGGCTGCTGATGCTAGATCTGTCCAGAGGTTGCTAATCTCGTTGGATAAAAAGAGCACCTTCAGCAGGAAAGATAATATTGTTTGTTCTAGAGCTGGGATTTTTTCTTGTTCTTTCCCCCCCCTAAATTTAAACTGACGAGCTTTATTGGGGGGAAATGCAGTAGTAGGACGTTCTGAACTTTTAAGATAAATTCAGGGTCCTTTGTGGAACCCCAGGCAGCCGTGTTCTTTATAAACCACTAACAGTGCAAGAAAGAACGTGCCACATATTTCCTTCTTGAAATGGAAGTATGCGAGGATTTTCCATGCAGGGGCAACAAATGCAGTTAGAAGGACACATGTTTTAATTTATAGATCGGTTGGGGGAAAGAAGGAAATAATAGCATAAATCGGTTAACCCGAAGTGACAAGGATTTGCAGGTTGCGTCCCTCTCGGCCTTCTTCAAAATGAAAACCCTTTGTGGCTACTCTGTTCTCCGATACCTAGCAGCTTTCGTTGGCCAAATTCTTTGAATGAAGGGTTGGCTCGGAGCATCCTGGAAAGAGGCTTGAAAAAAGCCGCCAGCAGATTGTCATGGAGGCCAAAGACACAGCCTTGGAATGCTTTGGTCGTCTCCCTTAGCATCCCCATTCCCATCGCTTTCTCTTTTCATAAAGTCTTGGAAGAATCGTAAGTTGTTTCTATCTACCGGGTATGGAATTGTTTCTTTTTAACATCTCGTGTGATCGTTGAGGCCAAGGTTGCCCATGGTCTCCATTGATGGCTGTAGAACTTCTTGGAACTCTAGTTAGGCGTTGTCTTTTGGGGGCCACCACAAACCAGGGCGATAGGCATGTGTGCACTTTTTAAACGTCGAGTACCTCAGTGAAGCTGCCCCTTTTTGTGGCCTGCGTCAGGGTTTTGATAACTTTCTCATCATGGAAATTGAGTGTGCTTCGGAAAAGATAATAATAAATAAAACCTCAGAAACGAGCTCTTCTCTCATAGCCAAAAGACACCAACACTCAATGTACGTCAGATTAATGCTGGTTTTATCTACACCCGAGATTGTGCAATGGGATGAGATATACCGCTGTTAAACTTCTCATGATGCAAGTGTATTTTTTTAAAAAGATTTGTTTTTCAAAGCAGGACCTCGTCAAAGGACTTTTTGTGGGTCCTCAAGGCTGGAAGTTTCTCAAATTGCTGTAATTTTAGTTAAACGTGTGGTTCTTACAAACACCCAAGATGTTTGCAAATCTGGAAAACTGGAAGTTTACTGACGTTGCTGGAGCTATCTGAAATGGTCCTTTTCTTCTAGTGTCTTAGTTCAGTTGGCAGCTTGGCAAAAAAAACAAAAAATAACCTTGTTCTTCGTGGCCATACGATCTTTTCTTATTTTCCTAGTCAAATAGCCTTCAAATGTTAAAAAAAGAGTTTTTAGCTCATTCTGCCTATCAAGGGATAGTTAAAGTACAGTTATTTCCACTTTTGGGGAATTAAAAATAGAATCGCCCACCAAGATCATTTTATTAAGATATTTTTTAAAAACAAAAAAAAATACTGGTTTTGTTTTTTAAATGTAAAAGTCATTTTCCAACAAAAATTGTGTATTTGGGTTTATGGCTATGTAGAGTTTGTCTCAAATGTTTTTTTTTTCTATCTCAAAATAAAATGTTTGTGAAAAAAAACCTGCTTATGTTTTGTTTCAGGGAGATAAAATATTTTATACCTAATGGTTGTTAACTTGGTATTTAATCCCTTGGCGCTAACTTCTTCACGGCGGATGGCTGGGCAGGTTTGACTTTCCTGCCAGCTTCAGTAGAGGATCTCCTGCTGTGAGCAGCGGGCTGGACTAGAAGACCTCCAAGGTCCCTTCCAATCTTAATATTCTCTATGTATTCCAAAGAACGTAACCTTTTAGAAAGACGTCTACTGTTATTTCTTAAATTCAACAACCTCCTTCAGAATGCACAACTAGTTTCCTTTTCATTCTGCCCACTTTTATGTAGATAACGTCTCCTCTGATCCAAGTCACTAAGTGAACTATTATAAGTCAAGGACTACCTGTAAACTTTTCTAAAGTTTATTTCAAATCTCTCTAGCTTCTAAGGGGTGGTGGTGGTGGGGCTTTCCTAGATCCTGCCATCCCTTCTGGTTGAACTCAACCGGATCTAAAACTTAAGGAAAAGGCATCAAAGTGCAAGGAGACCATTAATACAAGCAGCTGCGATTTTTCCTCATTTTATTGGGTAAATGATTTAAAAGGTAATAACAATAGTGTTAAAACTACTACAATATCTTTCCACAGCCATATCTCACAGACCCACAAATTACCTTCTAAAGTAGTTTATTTTTTTTGCTTTTTCCTCATTTTTACCTTTAAGCCATACTTATAAAAATGCCCGGTTTTTTTTTAAATCAACAGTTTCTTCACACTAATAGCAAATTAAACATGGAAATAAGAAGAATCTAGTCTTAATGGAAGGAGGTTTGTGGTAATCTGTGATCATATTGTAATCAATAGTCAAAGGAAAAGAGGGGGGAGGGGCTTCTGAGCTACGCCAGGTAGATCGTCTGCCCACCTATGTCATTTTTTTTTCCATTGAAGATAACTAGTTATGCTGGTGAACAATTAATTCTTGTAACATATAAAACACTAAAATAACTTAGAAACTAGATCCAAATCTTTTGGAAAGAATCAGCTTTGATATACAAAAACAGTCATAAAGTTGTTACAAAAGGTTTTTTTTTTTTTCTCTTTTTAACTCAGTGCATTTATGTACCAGTGTGTGGCCACCGGCTTCAGAGCAGAAGGAAGTATCTTTCCTTCTGAAACAGTAATAATAAAAAAAGAAACAAGGAAAAAAAAACACATATCTTTGTATATAAAGAATCATTGCTGGTCTTAAGAAGTGTAACCAGAAACCCTTAGAATCTGAGAGGCACATGTCGGGTTTCTATATTATTTTATTTAAACATAAAAGTCACCAGTTTTTTTAATTTCATCGGAGGAGCCTCGGCGGATCCTCAAACTTAATTTTAACATCACTTAGCAAAAAATCAGTTAGAAACTGTACAAAAATAAAAAAGTTAACCCATTTGCATCCTGCAGAGACTTTGAAGGATCGGAAGGCAGACATTTTAAGAAGCAGCATTGAGGCTTGGCTGGAGGTGTCTTTGGTTCAGTCCAACACACAAAATGTCGGCTACTCCAGACAGTTTCAAGAACCCAGACAAGTTGAAGATACGTCAAGAGGTTGAGATCATTAACGTGAAATGGGGGTGGGGGGGTGGGCCCGGTGCCCCCCGGCTGACGGCACATCAGCACGGGGTGCTTCCTTCCTCGCGGGGTCCATGCCCAACCCCAGAGCGAAGATGGCGTGACAGCAACGCACATCGCAGCACCCGCGTCTTTCCTGGATGGAACGGTTGGCCCCCCACCAATCTCCTCTCTCTTAGCTTCAGCCGGACGTTCGTTCCCAAACTGTCCTTCACCACACGGGTGTAAGAAAGAAAAAAACGTTTAAAGCTAAAACTAAACCGCCTTTTTGATTTTGTTTTTGGAATGAAATAAGGCAAGAAAAACGCAACCGCTTTCCTAAACGACACTGATCTATGGCTCAGTGACCCCCCCCAAGAAACTCAGGAGAGGTTGGAAACGGACGCGGCGTTGAAGATTGAGGAGAAATCGCAAAAGCCACTTTGGGTCTGGGCCAGGGGTAGGCCACCTTGGCCCTTTTATGACTCGTGGACTTCAACTCCCAGAATTCCTGAGCCAGCCATGCTGAGGGGAAAGGGAGAGGTTTCCAAGCTGAGCCATGCTGGCCCAGGAATTCTGGGAGTTGAAGTCCGGAAGTCATCAAGGGGGCCATAGTTTCCCTATGCTGGCTCAGGAATTCTGGGAGTTGAATCCCACGAGTCATCAAAGAGCCAAGGTTGCCTACCCCTGGTCTGGGCAAACGCCTAAGGTGGGGTAGCACGGTTGGGGCGATTGAGTAAGGCAGGGGTGTCCGACCTTGGCAACTTGACGACTTGTGGAATTCAGCTCCCAGGATTCTGAGAGTCCAGAAGTCATAATGTTGCCAAGGTTGAAGACCCCCGCCATAAGGAACGGTAGCCCCTTTGCGCGGCCAGCCCTTTCCCTGACCCAAGAAAGACAACCAGGAGAAAACAAAGCAGGTGCCACTGAAGCCAACGGATCACCACCGATGCGTCCAAGGTTATCGCGGGTGCATCTCGCCAGCCTTGCAAGATTCCAGGAGTAGCTCTCAAAACAAACATATATATATATATATATATATATAGATTTACAACAGGTTCAAAAGAGTCTGGAGGTTTTTTTGGTTTTGTATTTTTTTAAAGCGCACCTTTCCAGTTTGTTCAACCCTTTGAACGACAGCTGTTGTTTTTGATTTAAGTTCCCAAAGCAATAGCTATATGGAGACACCCAAAACGAGAGAAAATAAAAAAAAAATATTGTGCATTATGCTGACAAGATGATCTTTTTTTTTGTTTTTGTTTTGTTTTGTTCCTCCTCCAAGCCACGGTGGGAAGTATTGCTGACCTCTTCCTTCAAACCCTGCAGGATTATTTTATTTAAATCAGTATATCATTATTACACTGGTAAGAAATTCTGTATAACATCTGCATATATTGAGGATTTTTTTTTTCTAAAAAAAATCTGATATGATTCTAGAGTCCGCATGACCAGTCACGTGACCTGCTTAAGATGATTAGCACCTTTAAATACACATATATATTTTTAATATATATATATAATAGATCTTTTTTCTTTTTTTAAAAAAAAACTGTTTAACATTGAGCTCACCCAGAAGCATGAACTGTAATGAGAAAGATGGCTCTGTGTGTTTTTGTGTGTGTGTGTTGGTTTGTTTGTGAGTTGGGTGGCTATGGTAGAATATTCCAAATGCTTGCAGCAGAGAAATTTTTTTGTTTTAACTTGTGCTCAAGTTTTCCCTTTTCAAGGCAAAACAGGGAAAGTTGCAATTCGACAGCAACCGACAATACTTTTCACATAAAAAAACGAACCCCTTTTTTCACCCTCCCGACAGGAAAGACACCCCAAGAACTTCAACTGAAGCTCCGATGGGTTCTCCTTATCTGTTGCCCTTTTTTCTTTCTTTTTTTCAGAATTTTTGCTTATTTGAAAATTAAGGCATCGAAACAGAAAGTTAATATTCGGACGTTAAAATACTGTGGATCGAAGGAAAGACTGTGACGAAACGGCTCTCTGCTCCCTTCCCCAGCTGGGATCATAGTCAATTCTTTCAAAAGTATTTTTCAGGGCCTGGGATACGGCTCTCTCTTGGTTATTGTGGCAGTCTATGTTTATTAAGATTGCATCCCTAAATCAGATGAACTAGGAGAGGACTTCTGCCGAAATGGTGTCTGCCTCCTCCAAGATGGTCTTCTAATTACCAGGATCTCTGAAATAGATCACCGAGATCCATTTCATTGAAGTTTGTACAAGTTCAGGAAGCACCTGAAATGAGAACTCTTGTGAAAGTCCTTCTCAGAATTCAAGGTCTCTGCTATGTCAAACCGGAGACGGCAACAATTCCGATTCTGCTAACTTGGTACAATTTCCTATGACTTCTATCCAAATATATTTCTGGCACTGCATTGCAGCTTCGTATAAAAGGTAACCGGGATTGGATTTTTAATTTAAAATTATTAAGCCTTTAGGATTTTTCTAAAAATAAAAATAAAAAAAAATCGCTGGGCTTTTCTTTTTCTTTTTGACCTTGCAGAGGTTTTAGTGCACCTAGTTTGGCCTTCATTTCCTCAACAAAAGCACCAAAAAGTGTGCCACTATGAATGGCTAATTTGTACAGGGGCAAGCCTTGTAAGGTAGGAGACAAAAATGGGATCCTGCTCTCCAAAGAACATTTTTCACCCGTCTGGAAAGTTTAGAATTTGCAATAGTTACCTCCTCTTGTGCTTCTGCTGCCTTGCCTTCCTTCCCAAAACTTGTGTCCCCTAAGGCACTAATATCAAAATCTGCCGGCTTCCTAACATAGCAGTTTCTTCAAGCTAATCCTCCTGATTAGAACCAGCAAGAATCATCTGAGAAGTTAAAGAGAATCTTGGAGTGAGCCTGACTGGCGCTGTTCGTCAACTTGCTGATGAAGGAAAGAGCTTGGCAGATCACCCCATCCGCCTGAAGTCAGATTTAGGAACTGGAAGTGGGGAAAGACAAGACTATTCATCTGCCAGTTTTTAGCTCCAGTGATTTGAATGGGCAATTTGAAAGGATTCGAACCAGGAACTCAATCTGAGTCTGTGATGAAAGTCTTGGCTATGATTATGTCTCAACCAGGGGTGGTCCAAGCTTGGTGATTTTAAGACTTGTGGACTTCAACTCCCAGAATTCCCCAGCTACTCGTGCTGGCTGGGGAATTCTGGGAGTTGAAGACCACAAGTCTTAAAGTCGCCAAGGTTGGACACGCCTGGTATAAAACAAAAGCACACTTTGTTTCTCATTGTAATTGATTTGGTTTATCACTGATTTGTCTGGGCCAACCAGACCAGGAATCAGAAGTTCGTGTCGTCTCTTAACAATTTTTTATCTGATAGCTCATCCTAGTCAAGGCAATCTTTTATCTTGCTTCTGACCTGGGATCCGATATTTTATGCTTTTAAGAGCAGACTGTTGCATTTCATTTTTCTCTAACCTGACACATTTGCGTTCTTTCCTTCCATCCACAGTTTCACAGAAAAGGGTGATCGATACAATTGAGTGATAAATGGAATAGAACTTTAAAACGTTATTCTTTTTTTTTTTTAAAAAAAAAGAACCTTGGGGTTTTTTTTTATGTTGACATAACAAAAAGAAAAGAAAACCCTAATCAACCCACAGTGACTCATTTTTTTAAAAAAAAAAGAGAGGGGGGGGAGGGAGAAGAGAGCGAAGGGGTTCTTTGTAACGATGCAGCGTTTCCACCCGTTGCCATGGTGAGCTTAACCTGCCACGGAGAAGCGTCAACATGGCAACGGAAATTATCATCATAAAATGGTACAGTAATAGAGATAGCTAGACCAGGAAGGAGGGGGTTCTCCTGGGAAGAGGTTTGCAGAAAAGTCCAGGGACTGGTCATACGGCTCACTGTCAGGAATAATGGTTGTAGGGGGGTAGGGTGTGCCCGATGCCGTTTTGGAAGTGGTGATGCTGACGGTGGGCAAGGTATTCTGTGTAGCTCACGGTCATCTTCTCACTACGATACCTAAAAGAAAAGTGGGGAGAGGAAGGGAAAGAGAGAGGGGGGGAGGAGTGAAAGAAAAAAAAAGAGAGAGAGAGACAAGTTTAATTTCCCCAAAGGGAAACCACCGTGTTACCAATCTTACGTCATAACGTCCGATTGAGACGGGTGATCGTCCTCAAGCTAAGATTGGCCGAGTTCTAACTGAGTCGGAAGGCAGGAAGTCCAGCCGTTTTGCTCCTGGGTCTAACAAACGCCGTTGAACGACTGAGATTTGGGCGAATCTGTCCTCACGTTTCGTGAAACTTCGTATACATTGTGCTCTGTCTGTCTATATCTATATCTATATCTATATCTATATCTATATCTATCTATCTATCTATCTATCTATCTATCTATCTATCTATCATGCTCTGGTGGTGCAGTGGTTAGAATGCAGAATTGCAGGCTGACTCTGCCCACAGTCAGGAAGTTCGATCCTGACCAGCTCAAGGTTGATTCAGCCTTCCATCCAGAGACTGGACAGCCATTTGTCTGAAATGGTATAGGGTTTCCTGCCTGAGCAGGGGGTTGGACTAGATGACCTCCAAGGTCTCTTCCAACTTTATTATTATTATTATTATTATTATTATTATTATTATTATTATTATTATTATTATTATTATTATTATTATTATTATTATTATTATTATTATTAACCCAGATCTTTGGGGGCAATAAGCTGACTCTGTAAACCGCCCAGAGAGTGCTGTAAAGCACTATGGGACAGTATATGAGTCTAGTGCTATTGCTATTTGCTAAAACAGGAAAATACAGTTAAAGAAGCAGCTGAAATGTTTGGAATGGCAGGATCTCCTGCTTGAGAAGGGGCTTGGACTAGAAGATTCCAACCCCCCCCCTTCCAGCTCCGTTATTCTGTTCAGGTTTAAGACATGGGCGTCCAACTTTGGTTGGCCTAGGACCCACTGAGTGAAGAGGAATTGCTTTGGGTCGCATAGAAAATATTTAATATAGTGAATGTATATAAATAACAAATGGTTTTTATGATATCTTGTAGGGCCGCATTACTAGCTGTCCAGGCCTGCATAAAGCTTGTGGATTAGGCACGCCTGGTTTAAGCATTAAAAGAGAACCAGAAGAACAAG